CTCTCTCTCTCTCTCCCCCTCCCTCTCCCCTCCCCCAGCCTATGTATCAGTATGTAACTCTCAGTGGCTGCTCAGGCACCTGCCACCACCATGATAATGATGATAATGAACTAACCCTGAAACCGTAAGCCAGCCCCCAGTTAAATGCTTTCTTTCGCAACGGTTGCCTTGGCCACGGGGTCTCTTCACAGCAATAGAGCGGTGACCAAGACAATAGCTAAAGCTGCTTCTACCTTCGCGCTTTCTTCACGCTTTCCCTAACATGACAGTCTGTAACCTTCCGGCCCCCGAAAGATATGAGCCCAAGCACCGCCCCCTCCCTTCAGTTGCTTTGGTCACAGCAATGAGAGTGTAACTAAATCCAGAAAATCTGATGGGGGACGTCCTTCTGTGTACGTGTTTCTCTTACTGGTTGATGAATAAAACACCATTTGGCCAATAGAGGCAGGAAGATAGGCGGGACCAGGAGATGTGGAGAATCCAGGGAAAGGTAAGCAGAGAGTGAGGCCCTGCAAAAGGACGCCATGTAGAGATGGGGAAGACAGGGCGCGCCAGGCATTCTCCAGTAATATACGGTGTTGAGCGAAGTCTTCCCGCCAGCCTGGTTCCAGAGCCATATCAGTCCCAAATAAACACAGGACGCTGTATTAATTATAAAGCTGTTGGCCTTTGCTTGGTTTCTTACTGGCTATCTCTGACTTGAGTATTTACCCCATAATTGCTAATCTAAATATTTCTCTTACTGGAGAAAAGGGTCCCGACCTCTTTCTTATTCCTATAGCGGCTACATCATGAGTCCTGTGTCTCTCTTTCCCAGAATCCTCCTCAACTCCTAGTCCCCCCTATCTTGCTTCCCTATTGGGCAACAGTGCTTTATTGACATATACATAGGACTTCCCCATCAATAAGGCCATGTAGGAATACATAGATCAGTAGTTAGGGGTTAATAATTAAGACAGAGCTAGCCAATAAAGAGCCCTAGCCATCGGCCAACAGTTTTACAATTAATATAGCATCCATGTGCTTATTTGGGACTAAAACGGTGGTGGGATCTGGCGGGACAAGAGAAACTCCCGTTATAAAAACTGGTACCAGGAGTGGGGCTGCCGCTGTGATAAACAAACCCATGGTTCTTAGGTCCTTAGAACAGGTTTGTGGGAACAGTGTGGCAGTTTCTGGAGCTGTGGATTACAGAAGTCCTGGAATTCTGAGCTTGACGGGGGATTGTGATGGGAGTCCGGAATCCCAATAGAAATGTGGCCAATGAAAGCCAGGCCCGTGAAATGTCAGAGGCAAACAAGAACTATCCCAGGACCTGAGCTGGAAGCCATTCATATAGCACACTAGATGAGTCCGGCTGTGTCTGCCCACGTTTTAAAATTCTGAGAGAGACTGTCTTGAGAAACAATGGGCTAAGTTGTTTGGTGGAGGGAATTTCAGGATAGTACAGCATTCAGGTTATGGCATGGCTACTGTTGGCCAATTTTAATAAGGCTTATAGTGAAAACTCATAGCAAAAAAAGAAAATGGAACCAGGAAAGGGCACGACCAATATTGAAATGGTAGGCAGGGCCGACAAGGAAGCTGGAATTGTTAAAGAGAGGAGTGCCATTGAAGAGCAGCTTTGCACTGAGATAACAGGAATGGAAAACCCCGGAGTTAACTGTGCAAACTCACTTGGGAAGAGAATTCCCAACGAAGACAGCCCCAAGGACACCCTGTTCAAATCTGGGGAAATGTCTCACAATCAGCCACTGCCGCTGTGGTTGGTCCAAGGGGGCCAGATATGCACAGCGCCGGCAGCAAACCATGGGGTCACCCTCATGGTGCTGTCCTTGCAGGCACAAACGATGCAAGAGTCAGTAGGTCATTAAGCCTTACACCCAGGTTCCAGGAAGCCCCCGAGGCCAGGCAACATGTATCAGGGTCACATATGTTTCTGGAATTTCTGAGTGTGAAGCTGAGACCTGAGTTGTAGCAGAAACCCTCAAGACATTGGCGTCACACAAACCTGACCGGGTGCTTCTTGTTCTACCAATATATGAGACAAGCAGACCTAGGTATGCGCTCCCACGGCCGCATGCTCCCACAGCCACATGCTCCCACGGCCACGCACTCCCACGGCCGCGGAGCCACCTTCCTCCCTTAAGTGCTCTGACCAGGCATTTTGCCACAGCAGTGAGAAAACGGTACCCAGTTGGGGTGTGTTTGGGCCACTCTGGCCAGTCACTAGGGTCTGGAAGGCTCAAACCACTGAAGCTTGTTTTCTTGAGGTCAAAGATGAAGGCCCTGGGTGGCTTTCACGTCCCTGGGGCCTCCTTCCGTGCCCCTCTCCCTGTGTCCTGTCAGGGTCTTTCCCCGTGCACACATCCTCAGATGACTTTTTCTATGCCCCTCTCCCCACAAGGACACCACACTGGATCAGGGTGCACGGCAACGACCTCACTTCACCTCACACCCTGCAGAGCCCGTCTCTAAATATAGCCATGAGGTACTGGGGGCTGCAGCTCGGGCGCAGGCTGTGGGAAATTTCATTTGTGTCTGAGTGTGGGGCAGAGCAGGGAAATGAGTATCCCATCATGAGGCGAGCGTGCTCAGAGACAAAAAGGAGCCCAGTTCACCTCAGGGCTTAGGGCTGGGACAATGACAGACACTCAGTGAAGGGGGTGAGTGGAGTCCCTGCCCATTCCTTTGCCCGTCTGATTCTCAGGAAGATCGTGTCACCTGCAATGGCATTGGGTTTTCTTAAGGTAAATTAAGTGAATTCACTTTTGTTCAGTTACATATGTACATTAAACAACTCTACGGTGGCGGTTTGTGTGTGAGATCCCCCCCCTACCGCCACCACACACCAAATGTACCATGCTGCAGGCACAGCCCCTGGAGTTTTCACGGCAGGCCGGCTGAGTCTGGCCTTGGGGACTCCAGGCTGGGTTTACCCTCCTGAGCTCCCTTGGTTTCTGAGAACCTGCATCGTGTCTTAGCACGATTACTTCTGAGCTCCGCCCAAGCTCAGACACATTTGAATTTTAATGGAAGCGTGGAGTGCTGGTCCACATACGTCGGTTACTGCTCTTTTGACTTTTATGATAGTGAAAGATGGGATTGATCCCCTCTCCTTGGTTGGTCGATTCCTATGAGCTCTTCACGTCTGTATTTTGCTTTCAATCTCCTCAATGAAGTTTTGATCCGTAAAATGATAATTAAGGTTTATATCAAGTTTATTTGTGTGTGTGTGTGCATGAGTGTGTATGTGTGTGTATGCAAGCATGGTGCACGCATGCCTGTGTGCACATGTACGAAAGCAACTGTGAATGGGTAGAGGTCAGAGGTCAGTTTGCGGGAGTCAGTTCTGTCTTTCCACCATGTGGGGCCCAGGATTCAGACCCAGGTCATTAAGTTTGGTGACAAGTACCTCTACCCACTGAACTACATTTCTGGCTCCTGAAATCACAGCTTTAAATGACTATCCAATGGCATATATTCCCACAACAGTTTTATTTCCGCTGTGTACAAAAGGAGAGGGTTCTTCACACAAACATCGAACGGTTGCGTATCAGAGGCCATGCATGGCGCTCAAGGGACTGGGTTCTATGACGGATATCACTAACCTGGAAGATTTTGGGAGAGTAGAGTTTCAGTGATCTTCATGGAATGCCAAAGCCACGTAATAAAACAGTGTGGTTCTTTTGTCTCTGCGGCTTCAAGTCTCCACACCTGACGGTTCTGAACCACAGTTTTGAAACTCTGCCTCTTTTCTGACTCACAAGCATGCCTTTCCCTGCCAAAAACACTCTTTCCCGTGCTCGCTGGAACCCTTTCCTGAGTCCAAGCCAGCCCCGTGCTCTCCGAGGCTTCTTCCCGGGAGCCTGGCTTCTCCCCTGAGCATGTACAATGCCGGTTCTCAAGCGAATGTTGATGTGTCTGCTCCTCACTCTTGACGAAGGACGTTTTCTGCACTGTGGACCTGTTTGTCAGCTGTAGAGTCGTAGTTTCAAATGCAGGAGAGAAAACACCTTGGACGTCATTTCTCACAAGATTACACAGCCTATTCCAGGCTCTCTCATTGAACGCCGCTACTCATACGGAATGTATGGGGGAGCCAGGCTGCCTGAAGACCGAAAAGCCAACCTCAGCGTATCGACAAAGAAACAAGCCTGGGGTCCTCCAGCATCACCCGGCCTGGAATTCAGGACAGCCTGAGACCCAGGCGTGTGCGCGGGTGCAGACTGCATCCGGGACAGTGCCCTAGCCTGGCTTAAGGAGCAGGAAGTGGGTTCTCCTAATACTTGAGAAATGAAACAGTTTCATACCCCTGTCTTCCTCCCTCCCCCAACATTCTCTTGTGCCCCCGGATCCCAGTCAGTCCCCTAATGTCTGGGGCGTGGCCGCTCGGGAAGACTCAGAGAAAAATAAGCCTTGTGAAGAGAGAAGCCTCAGGCACAAGGGGTGGGTTGCTGGCTGGTCTGGGTCAACTTGGCACAAACTAAGGTCACCTGAGAGGAGGGAACCTCAGCTAGGAAGATGCCTAGATTCTTAGTTGGGGTCATCCTTGTGGGTCTCTGGACATTTCCCTAGGGCCACATTTCTCTTTAACCCTACAATGGCTCCCTCTATTATGGTACCTCTTTTCTTGCTCTCCTCTCTTTTTCCCCTGACTCGATCTTCCTGCTCCCTCATGCCCTCCTCCCCCTCCTCTTCCCCCTTCTCTATGTCCTAACTCCCTCTCCCCTCCCCCTGTGCTCCCAATTTGCTTGTGGGGAGGGGATGGGAGGATGGGAGGGAGCTGGGATTGACACGTGAAATAAGATTTCTAATTTAAATTTTAAAAACATCTAGAAAAAAATGCCTCCATCAGATCCGGCTGTAGGCAAATCTGTAGGTCATTTTCTTAACCAGTGATTGCTGGGGGAGGGCCCAGCCCGTGGTGGGTGGGGCCATCCTTGAGCAGATGGTCCTGGGTTCTATGAGAAAGCATGCTGAGCAGCGAGCAGTGAGGAACAAGCTGGTGGGTGGCGCCCCATCTTCAGGCTCTGCGTCAGCTCCTGCCTATGGTTCCTGTCCTGACTTTCTTCAGTGATTAGCAGATACGGACGTGTAAGCCAAACAAACCCTTTCTTCCCCAATTTCCCTCAGGTGCTGGTGTTTCTCTGCAGTAATAGTAACCCTAAGATGGAAGTTGGTGCCAGCATAGTGGGGGTGTTGCTGTGACAGACCTGACCGTGGTTTGGGGAGGACCGTGGAAGTGACTTTGGGCTAGAAAGGCCATTGAGTGTTGAGAGCTCAGAGGGAGCCTCTGCGGGGAGACGGAACAGACAGAAGAGCAGGAGGCTGGGCTTGCCAGTTTCCGAGGGAGTCGAAGACCGCACTGGGCCGTTTGTGCAAAGAATCTGTGATGTCCGGTCGGCTTGGCGTGGAAGAGTCAGCCGTGATTAGCAAGAGGCCAGAAGCGCTGACGTGAAATCTCTGCTTAACGGGACAGTTGATGCTGGAGCTGAGAAGTTAATGGTGACTAAGAAGAGACGGGCATCACTGAGGTGAAGTCTCCAGGGTGTGTTTCCTCAGACTCAGCACACAGAAGCTGTGTTCCAGAGGCTGCTAAGGCTGCACCTGGCACTGGCAGAGGAACTTGGCAGTGTCACCCAGGTGGTGCCGGTCTTGAAGGCATGAAGGGATCATGGAGAGCAGCTGAGGCCTGGGCCCGGGAGAGGCCACTGGTGAAGGTGCAGCCTCAGTGGCAGTTGGAGGCTCAGGACTGCCACTGAGGAGAGAAGCTGAGGCCTGGCACCGTGAGGAGAGCCAATGAGAGGCTACTGGTGAAAGTGCAGTCTGGTGGCAGCAGAAGACCCCAGCCTTTCAGGGATGCCGGTGCCGTGGGGAGACCCCAGCCTTTCAGGGATGCCGGTGCCGTGGGGAGACCACCCGAGCACAGCACGCAGGAGTGGAGTCAGCCTGAGCATGGATGGAAGACAGCTGTGTGTGCTGCGGAGGCCGCGGTCAGAGACGTAGCCCAAGAGCATCGGGGGAGCCTCAAAGGTGAGTGGACCCAGACGCTGGATACTGAGATATTTGGTTTTGCTTTGATCTGATTGTGAGTGAATCCCAGGAAATTGGACACTGAGTTATTTACACTGTTGGATTTGTTTCTGCTTTGTTGGGATTGTGATTGTGCCCTGGTTCTTCCCTCTTGAAATTAGAAGGTATTTAACTTAATTCCGATGTTTTTACAGGCGTCCGCAGCTAAAGACTGCACTTTTAAAAGATATTTTGGATTGGTTAAAGAGGTCGGATATTCTAAGGAGACTGAATTTTTAATGTGTTTGGATTTGTAAGACTGTAGAAAGGGTAGTGACCCCACAGGGATGTGTTTGTGTGTCAAGCTAGCAAGGGGTCAATTGTGTTGGGTAGTTTCGTGTCAGCTGGACATGAACTGGAGTCACTGGGAGGGAGGAACTTCAGTTGAGGAAAAGCCTCTGTAAGATCGGGCTGTAACAAGCTTGTAGGGCATTACAGCAATAGTAACCCTCAGGAAGACAGGGGAACACTCCATTAGTTTCCCTGTCCCTTCCTTCTTTGTTGTCTGAAGATACCAAGACAGGACTGGGGGGGGGCAGGGCACGTGGTAGCACTACTTGTTAAGCACCTGCCGCAACCAGAGGAGAGAATTCTAGCTTCTGAGAACTGGAAAGGACCAGACAGAGGGAAGGTTTAGTAAAAGGCTACCCTGCAAATTTGTTTCTAAACTTCTGGGCTCAGACCTGACATAGACTACAATAGACATAACCCTAAATAGCACGTCAGTGTTGAGAACTGAACTATAGAAAAGGCCATTGCCTGGGTCCCATGGCTGAGGACAGGGACAGATCTCTGCCTCGGAAGACAGCTGCTCTTTAGGAAGAGCCCATAGGTGAGTTCTTAGTCTATGTGGCCTGAACTCAGGATGTAGGGAAGCGGTATTCTCCTCTGGGTTTCTTATATCTGGAGACTTATAATCACCAAATGTCTAAGAATCAATAAAACGTGCCTAGCATGCAGGAAAAGATGGGACGATCTCACTGTGTGCAGGAAAAGGTGACTGACAGGTGATGGAGGAAGTCCTTCTGTGTATGTGTTTATCTTATTGGTTGATGAATAAAGCACTGTTGGCCAATAGGGAAGCAAGATAGGTGGGACTAGGAGAGGTGGAGGATTCTGGGAAACAGAGGCACAGCCAGTCACTATGTAGGACGCAAGAGGAGTTAAGAAGTCTGGACCCTTTCTCCTGTAAGAGAAGACCACATAGAAATATTCAGATTAGCAGTTATGGGTTAATAATTAAGTCAGAGATAGTCAATAAGAAACCATAGAAAATGGCCAACAGCATCATAATTCATATAGCGTCCTGTGTGTTCATTTGGGACTGACGTGGCTCTGAAGAACAGGGCAAGAATGTCCACGTAAATCTAACAAAAGCTTAAAGGATTTTAGAAACAAAAGAACAGAGACAAGCACGGCTTCTTGGTAGCAGCATTTTCTCGGGTGGGCTCTGTTTTGCTAGGGACAAGCAGAGACTTACACAGCCAATGTTGGTGCTAAACTTATGCCCACCATGCTGGAAAGCCAGTGGTTAAAACAGCTGCCACTTTAGTTTTAGTAATGTTGTTTAGCAGATAGGACATATGGCCCCCCAAAAATAAAGATTTACAGTAAAGTCAGATTCAGATGAAGTAAAACCTTTAAAAGGTTTATAGTGTGTTTTAAAATATATGTATGCTTGGGAGAGAAAAAGAAACAGGAAAGTGGTGAGAGAGAGAGAGAGAGAGAGAGAGAGAGAGAGAGAGAGAGAGAGAGAGAGAGAAGCTGGGTGTGGTGGCGCATGCCTTTAATCCCAGCACTCGGGAGGCAGAGGCAAACAGATCTCAGATTTCAAGGTCAGCCTGGTATACAGCGGGAGTTCAAGGGCAGCCAAAGTACACAGAGAAACCCTGTCTCAAAAAAGTAAAAAGTAAAATTAAAAGATATAGAGTAATAAAAAATCCACGTAAAGATGGAAAATACACAGAGAGTCTGGATACTTATGCTATTGTGTTGTCTTTCGGTTGTTCAGTTGCTAAGGAAGGAACAACTGCTAAAGTACACTTGATTATAAATGCTGCTAGATTAATCCAACTTACATATTTTAAAAATGCCTTGACTTCAAAATTTAAATATAAGGACAGGTTACTTGGGAAAAGAGTTTTTGCCTGTGTTTCCACAGAAAATGAAAAACTCTGGATTTCTTCCAGATTTCTGTGGTTTGATAAAGCAAGACCCCCAGATGCAGTGGCCCAGGTGATCCAACATCTAAAAAGCTGAGATGATGCAACCTTGCAGACTACAAAAAAATAAGGACTTAGCCAGGTTTCTGTGTTGTGTTATGATCCCCATGGTATGGACAGCGCCCCCAACCAGCAGGAAGCAGTTTGGAATGAACAATGCCCAAATTCCCAAATATTGTTTATAAATTTTTGTTTTCATTTAAATGGGGCTGGTTATAAATGGTTAATGATCACAACCAATCTCTTTATAAAGATAAAGGGGACATTATGGTATAGAAATGAATACTTTGTATTGGCATGGATTTTCATTGATTGATACAAATTTAAGATCAATTTTGTGATATGTATATTTCTCCTCTTGTTTAGGTATTGTGTTTGTATAACTTATTTAAAAATATAATGTATAATTAAATACAGATTATAGATAGTTACAATAATAGTCAAAACTTATAGTAAAGTTAGTTAGGTTTTCTAGATATACAGAGATATATTTGAGATGCATAGATATTCTTCAAACCTTTCAAAGACCTACAGATTATGTGACAATTAAATGGTTTAGGGTTTTTCATGATAGTGAGACACTACTACTCCTGGCACACCAATTACATCTGAGAGAAAGATGGGCATCAAAGAAACTCCTTATGAAATTTGCTTTCAACATGGCAAGATTAGCCATTTGGGCAAGAAACTGCTCTTGCCTGGACTGTTTTACTGATGATATATAAACTGGACATGCAGGACCCACAGGAAAGTGAACTTGCAAAACAAGATGGACAGACCTAAAGGGTTCCTGCTTCATGGAAGCGTTTGCCAGACATTCTGCAGCACACAGAAAAATAACTGACAAACTGCCAATGCAGATGGACAGTTTAAAATTCTCTGCTTTGCTGAGAAGTCTGCCAGACACACTGTGGCCTATGGACGGAAGATGGATGCCCCAACATTACAGAGGAACTTCGGATGTCTGTCCAGGCAGCAAGATATCTCTGTCAGTTCTAGTGTTTATATATTATCCTTCTGTGGTCTTTGATGGAGTTGAAGACAGATTGTTAAAATTATAATTTTCCTTAGTTATGATAAAAGATGAGCTACATATAAGACTTTAGACTCACACAGATAGGATATATGATAAAATACTTTCTTTAAATCTTACTAAATGTCAATGAACTAAATATTGTAACTATAGTTCTTACTTGATAACTGTTCTGTTATATGTGACTATGTTAAAGTTAAAACCTTTCTTTTTATTTAGACAGAAAAGAGGAGATGATGGGGGAAGTCCTTCTGTATATATGTTTGTTTTATTGGTTGATAAATAAAGTACTGTTGGCCAATAGGGAAACAAGATAGGTGGGACTAGGAATCAAGGAGGATTCTGGGAAATAGAGGCACAGTAAGTCACCACGTAGGACTTGAGAGAAGTAAGAGGTCCGGACCCTTTCTCCAGTAAGAGAAGATCACGTGGAAATACGTGATTAGCTATTATGGGTCAATAATTAAGTCAGAGATAATCATCAAGAAACCATATCAAATGGCCAACAGTTTCATAATTTATACAGTATCCTGTGTGTTCATTTGGGACTGACACAGCTCAGGGACCAGGCTGGTGGGAAGAATGCTCGTTACAGACAGGTGACACAAAATTTAAAACAGCTATTATTAAAGTGTTGCAGTGTACGAAAGCAAACGTTCTTGAAGTGAATGAAAGGATGAGAAGTCTTAGAATAGACATGAGGAAGACCCAGAAGCAGATTTTAGACATAAAAACTAAGATAACAGAAATAAAAATCTCATCGATGGGCTCACGGAAATGTCACAGAATGACATCAGTGTGTATGATAGAAACAACAGTATGACTTGTCCTCCCAGCACTCAGGGGCTGAGACAAGAAGGTGGTAAGATCATGCCAGCCTGGGCTGTGCAGCAAAGTTCTGTCTCAGAATATCAAAAACAAGAACTGAAAAATATGAACAGTACAGAGGAGAAAGAAACAGCAGAGTGTCCAACAATGCTGTGATGAATCTTAGAGATGATAGCTGCTGGGGATATGGCTTTCAAACCTCAGCACCCTCATAAACATGGGGCAGAGATGGGGATCCTGGGGCAAACTGGCCAGTTAGAGTAGCTGAACTCATGAGCGCTGGTGGACAGGGTAAGAAGACACCTGACATCAACCTTTGGCCTCTAAACACATACCACGACACACATTCATAACTAAAGAGGGTGGGAGAGAAAGAAATTTGAAGAAACAGTCCCTGGAAGTTCCCCAAATTTGGAGAAAAACAAACCTGTCTATTTCAAGAGCACCGGAAACCCCAAACCAGAGCCATGACCGGGTATGGCATGGATACTGATGAATGCTGAAGAAAAATGCTCTCAAAGCAGCAGGAGGACGGCACGTCAGTTGCCAGGAGATGCAACCCATATGGCTGCACACTGTTCCAGACGGAATGAGTTAAAATCCTACAAGCCATGGTATCAGGTCATAACAGAGTAATTAGATTGTGAACTAAAGATAGACCATCCACTGTGGAGCCCGGGGAAGAGGGCAGAGGTCTGGATGCTCAACACCAGCAAGGTGAAATCATTCCACTGGGTACTTGTCACTTTGTGATCTTCACGTAGCTAGTGAGAATTGCTCTCGTGCTGAAAGCACTTGTCTCTGTAGCAGACCGACAGGTGAAAAGGGGCATGATACTTTGTAACTGTTCCTGTGAGGCAGTTAAAGGGATGAACTTA